TGTTTATCAAATTAACGCAACTAATTATATATTCAAAACATTTTCCATTTTTAAAGATAATGTATATTTATTTTACACAATTTTTAAAATAATTAATAAAAGGCAATCATCACAGGAATGACAATTTTCGGCATTTGTAAAAGTACCTATTCAAAAAATTAATTCTTAATTAATTTGTAAAAGTATATTTAAAAATTGATTCTAAAAAGTGATATACATATAAGATACGTACTATTTTGTAAATTTCAATATATATTATAATTTCATAAATATAGAATTTATTATATATACAAGATAAAAGTTTTAAACCTTATTATCCAAAAATGGTTAATAAATCTGTCATAGCATATAGGCTACAATTCAAAATATTATTTAGTAAAATAATATTTATAAAACAGGTACATCGGCACCAGGTTTGATGAAGTAAATCAGCATATGCAAAATCTATTGATAAAGAAAGAGCATTCACTAAAGAATACATGGAAGAAACCTACAATAATTGTTCATCAATGTACCTTGGGTACTGATAATTACAAGCGAGTGTTGTGGAGCTTGATGTAATTCAATACATATGCATATATTTATGTAGAATATTATTTTAATAGTATATAACAAAAAACAATCAATTATAATTTGTAAAAACAATTTCTTTTTATCATTTTTAGTAATAAAATGTTTTTTAGTAATAAAAAATTCATTTGTCGACAGACATCTTCATTTAGAACTATGTCGCATTGCACGTGAATGGAATCTGGTGTTTGGAATTCAAATGACTACCGAAACAGCATCTTATTCATTACTTGGAACATCATTATGCTTCTACTTATACAAATCGTTAATGCATCGAGAGCTAATACCAGTCAGCGTATGGTTTCGAATAGCTTTCCGGATGTTTATGATTGTAGGAAAAGTGTATATTATAAATTACATTTGTGAAAATGTCTGTTTTAAGGTAAAAAAAATGTACAATGCATTTTCAATACAAGAAAATATACATATATTCAATATAAATCAATTATAAATTTTAGGCTAACAAAATTGACAAAATAATCAATGAATTGACTTTTCGATTTGATGACGTTTTGAAAGAGGTAAAAAATATTTTAATAGCAAAAGAGTAAATAAAGCAAATTATGTTAAATGACTATTTATGTACAGATTTATCAGTTCAATTTGCAAACAATGCATCATCCGTTGGAGTTTACTGGAATGGGTTTCTTCCCCTTTGGTAACAAATTCCTCATAAAGGTTCATTTTTCATCTATTTTTACTGTTACTTTATTTTTGCATGTTATATAGAAATTCATAAAATTGCTTCTAAGCTTATCGTTAAAGTTGTTATTAAAGTTAAGTTATTACTTTTTTCTTACATACATTATATTATTTATCTTACATTTATCTTACATCATATTTAAATATAATGCTAGCTTTACAAATAATAAGAATTAATTGAAAATTTATACATTTTTTCTTAGTTCTGCGTAGCGATTACAACGTTTTTGACCATCGTGATACAAATGTCGACGCCTGATTTACCTTTTAAAGAATAATCCACTCTGCACTTTATATTAAGTTTAGTATCCCAAAAGCTCATCAAAACAATTATTTGTAATCACATCGATTGTATGTATGTATATCGCTTGAGCCAATGTAGTAATAATTTAAAAAAACAATTTGTTATGTGATCAGCATAGATATTACTCGTATTTACGCCGTATTTTCGTCTTGCGCTTTATTCAATGTGGAACAAATACAGAAAACAGTTGAAAAGATCGTTTTAATACAGAATGTAAACGTTAAACATTAAAAGCAGAAAATAACAATTAAGAAGAGAACGCATATGCGCATACATACATGGATCGGTTGCGCATTGTATGTGACTTCGCTTAAGGGCTGTTGCCGATGATTTCGCTTAGGGGCTGTTGCCCTGAGTCGTGAGAGCGGTAAGCGACGACGCCTGGGGGACTATCGCCCTGAGTCGCTACCTGATTGTTCGGATGCGACAGCGCCTTAAGGTGTAGACCTTGGGTTGCCTTGGCTTAACACACACTTTATTCAATGTTCACAATTGTGTCCTTTGTATAGAATTTCAATGTTCGTCTCAAAGGAAAGGCAAAATCTCGAGCGATCTTTCGTGGCCACGTAACCGATATGTACACGTCGAAGTAACGAGGAAAAATCGAAAATCGGCCGTGACAACGAAGGATCGAAAACGCCGGAGCCACATCTAGCGACCGTTAAAACTTGTCCCTAAGATACCGAATTATTTATTTGTACATATAATTGATTGATGTACCTATAGGTGAATGTGTGTGTGTATGTGTCTGAGCCATCCGACAATCTCTCTTATTCGCTTTAGTTATGTCGTGCACGACGCATGTGTTTACTACATAATACAATTAATGATTCTACCAACTAGTAATTTTCTTCTTTTTGTTGTGCTTACAGATTAATCACGTAATAATATCTTTAAATGAGACACTATATAAAACGGAAAACATTTTTATTACACTTAAAATATTAATAATAATTAAAGGGTAAAACGCATTTTTTATATATAATTTATATAATCAATAATGTTAAAATTAAATAAATCAATTATTGTCGATTTATACACTTTTAGTACGTTTTAATATACTTTAATACACATGAAAATTATTTTGACAACAATATTAAACATTAGTTTATTTATTTTATTAATTAAATTTCTTTTAGTGTCTAAATCTATATTCTATCGATACTCTACAAATAATGTGACTTGCAATGTGATATCATTATTAGGATATGTGAGTTCATCGTGTTTCATTATGAATTATTCACAGATAATACAAGATATATATAATTTTCTTTGGCAATTACAGCAGTAGAATAAAAAGTAAGATGCAAAAATAATTGTAAATGTTCCGCATCGCAAATTTAATAATCTAGAAAGTTTTACCGTAAAATTTCACAAATTTCTACACTCTA